TCATATGGATGGGAGGGAAAGGCCACGTGTCCTGCAGTTTGACGTGACCTGTCTTTGGCACCAGTTTCACAAACTCAACGCTCGGCTCATACCAGACATCGTCGGGAAGGTATGCATTCACTTCTGTCTGATTCTGTTATACATTTGCGATAATTAACTTAATCATAATATTATATTGTTAATATATCAATATTTACTTCATAAAGAAATGGCGAAAAGAGTACAACTGATCCCCACATAAACTGCTCGTCTATACCATAGGTTTGCGGATCAGTCGGGTATTCGTGAAACAGAGGTCTGACAACAGTATTGCCCAATACGTGGGCTTTGAAGAAAAGGGTATATAAATAGGGAAGTAATTGATATCTGACACGAAGTGATTGTTTAGCCGCTTCAGTCACTTCCGGATGTCCAATGTCTGCCCAAACTGCGGGGTCCTGAACATCACCGCCCCATCCGTTGTGATGGTTTCGACTAAACGGATAAAATGCTCCCAATTGTTGCCAACGACGACAGAGAGCTGGTGTAGTCTTATCATTGAATCCACAAATATCTGCCCCAACCTATTGGTCATAATTATTATTATAATTGCAAATATTTAAACTAAATCTACTTTTCAATACATAAGGAATGCCGAAGAGATTGAATTCCAACATTCCTATCACTGAGTCCTTCATATGAGACCATTTGCTTCGGTTGTCTCCCAACCAGTGACCCGTGTATTGTCCCGACGATACAAATGTTGATCGCGATAAGACATAACCTCTTTTACCCGTTATTTCATTCAACGCCCTAATTATTAGTTGAATTTTTAGCAACTTATGAAAACATTCACAATTATTGTTATATTACTTTTGTGTGGGAATAGCCATCGATAGGCCATACAAAGAGTGGACGTCATAGTGTTTGTATTGACCCGACTCTCCCTGCACTCCAATCATACAGAGTGTGGATCGACTCAACCGATCGAATCCATGGACCCAAAGGGCTTCTGTAATGCAATCAGTATTTTGTTATTCATTAATAACATTAATAAATAAATATTAATGCAATCATTACTTATTTCTATAGGAATATTATCGTATGTATTGTGTGGGCACTGAATGTTATACCCCGATCCACTATCAAATGTAATAGGCTCATTCATATCCTATTTAACCATTGAATGCCGAAGAGATTGAATTCCAACATTCCTATCACTGAGTCCTTCATATGAGACCATTTGCTTCGGTTGTCTCCCAACCAGTGACCCGTGTATTGTCCCGACGATACAAATGTTGATCGCGATAATACATAACCTCTCTTTCCTGTTATCTCATTCAATGCCCTAATAATTGTTTTTAATTATTTATAATTGTATTACAAAATTAAATCTCTTTGAAAATAATTACTTTTGTGTGGGAATAGCCATCGATAGACCATATAATGAGTGGACGTCATAGTGTTTGTATTGACCCGACTCTCCCTGCACTCCAATCATACAAATTGATTGTCTACTCAAGCGCTCGAAGTTATGGACCCAAAGAGCCTCTGTTTTTGCAATTAACATACATTTAAATATACAAGTATTACATTTATTGAGACACTTAATTAATTATTATTACTTATTTCAATGGGAATATTATCATATTGATTGTGAGGGCACGTGATATTAAAGCCTGTGCCAAATTCGACCGACACGGGCTCATTCATATCCTATTAAATCAAAACATTAGTTTCAAATAAGTTCATAACAGTAAACAATAATAGCATACAATCCAAAGTGAATTGAATTTCCATCCAATAGAGTACAAATGTTTGAAGTTATTTATCCACCAGTTTTGGGTCGCATTCTTCATGAAATCGGGAAAGGCAACGGGTCCGGGAGGCCATACCCGCCCATACATGTTATCGTGAGTGACATCTATATTATCGGGATTATGCCTGTCTTGTATGGGAACACTTTTAGGCCACTTTACAAATACATTTTGATTGTTTCCGTCGAGAAATATTGAATAATTTGGTTCATTTCCTTGAATACCCGGGTCTATGATTGGAGTCCAATGGAGATTGAATTTGCTTTGAGTCTCTGTTATAAGTTGTGGCAAATCTTTGAAATAGTTTGGATCGATAGTGAAATCTCGTGACCAGAATTTATAATCGCTATCAATATATTGAACATCCTTTTAACCAACAAACAATTGTGTTTAAAATTAGACAATAATTTATGACATGAATGCCTCACATATGGGATCTGATGTTTAATCTGTCGCTCGACCACAGCTTTCACTTGATTGGTGTTATGGTAACCATATTTGGATATTTGAAACCCAAACGCCCAAAACGAGGGCATAAATGTGCGCCCAATGAGTGAAGTGTATAACTGTATGACATGTTCGGGATTATCGCCGATAAACACAAAGAAATCCAATATTCCTCCGATTGTCTTCACAGACATCCAAACGCCCAAAACGAGGGCATAAATGTGCGCCCAATGAGTGAAGTGTATAACTGTATGACATGTTCGGGATTATCGCCGATAAACACAAAGAAATCCAATATTCCTCCGATTGTCTTCACAGACATCGCCGGCGCCGGCATTAGTGTGTATTCTGACGGATATTATTATAAATTTTATTTCAAATTAATTCAAATTTACGACAATATGAATACCCATAGCATTGCTGTTAAGTAATAGAATTCCGTGAGAATTGCCATTACTTTCAAGTACTGTATAGAAGGGGTGCTGACCGTAATTATTCTTCTGGTCATTCTGTTAATAATAGTTATATTTTAAGTATTAGAATATTTATTAAAATTTCAGTTTAATATAGTTTATTAAATTCAAAATATGGATATTACAAGACGTCACTTACACTGTCGGGTGCATTATCTTTGGTAAATATGGGCCAAGTCTTGTAATTCAAGTCATGTCTGAGAGACGGGTGAGTATTCTCTCCCAAACCGTACACATTATTTGACGGCAAATAACTTGAT